TTAGTTGAGAGAATGTTGATTCTACACAAAGGTTAGGATTCTATTTGGGATACTGCTTGACTGATAAATTAAATCAGCTTCATTTTGTTTATTTGGAACTAGTAAGATATCAGTTCATACAAATAGCACGAATCACGAGACGGCTTAGATTGATAGATGTGGTGATTCACACTTTGCATTAAGTTTCGTCTGGTGGAAGTAATAGGGAGGAGGATGTTCTTATCAACTGATATGGTAATTGAACCTTCGGTGGTTATTGCGCAATCAATTAAGTTTTAGTATATGTAAAAATAACACTTGCTGTTACCAAGGTAATTGAAGAGGTCAACTTAAAATGTTGGAGCTGACCCTGAAGGAGGTAGTACCTTACTCAGCTGAGCTTAGGGTATTAAAGGAGGATTAGTAGGTTGTATTAATGATGCTAAGAAGGTCGGAGTGACTGAGATGTAAAATTTATCAATTTAACGTGCAGTCAAATGGTTATGAGTTGCATTATGACATACAACGTTAGTTTTGGTGAGCTGGTACGGATAGGGACATGTACATAACTGTCTCCAAGTGTATCACTTGTTAGCAAGGTGGAAAATTAATACTTGGATATCATTGGAGGTTATAGCCACTTCCTATATCAAAATAGGAGTAGGACTAATCAGGAGTGGATGGTTGGTAGAAATTACTAACATTCGTTGGAATTTTAATTCCATATGGATTACGAGTGGTGGATAGAGTAAGTTCGCTAGTGGCCATTAATTCTAGTAGGGTTACTTTGGCATTTCATATCAGTTCAACATTGCATTGATAATGGAATTATTGCATGTGGTTATTCATTATAGTAGGAAAAAAAAGTGTTCTATCAAAGGAATTTTCTGAAGATGTTGGAGCAACAACTTTGCTTCGCATCTCTAGACGGGAGATTTGATCGAGACATTATATTTTATCATGGAGGATATGCTTAGGAATTTATATCCTAGGTTTGCATGGGTAATTGGAAGTGTTACTTCGCTTTTCAGTTATTATCTGTGCTATTGTTGGCAAAGGAGGTTGTGTGACAACGTTTGAGGTTTTGGATATTTTGTAGTGCAGATCTCTCACTTGTTAGTCTAACATGGAAGCGAGGGTTATATAATAAGACCTTGACTTTATTTAAGGATACATCGGAGATAAATACTCTCTTTTGTAAAGGATTGCATGCGGTTTGGAGGCTGCAGTCGGATTTTGTAAATCGTTGAACTCGTACATTAGAGTTTTCTATCCGAAAATGGTTGTTTGGGATGTCTTCCGTATAGGAAGCAATGTGCTTTTTGGAGGAAGGTCAGTTTTACGTATTAAATTGACTTTTCATGGATTTTGTTTATCGATTTAGGCAGTAACCTATAGTTTAACGTTACCAACTTGTTAAGCACTGCATGCATATGAATTTGGTGCGTATATTCTATGGCACTTGGAGGACTATGGATTTGTACCCTAGTATAGATTTTGGGTAAGGATGAATTGCTGTGCAATACAATATATGTGTAGCCTTTGGTGTTTCTGCAATATCGGAACCATGAATTTTTATAAGGGTTTGGAATTCAGTGGAGCTCCTACACAGAGGCAGAGTCCACAACGGAACGGAAATGAATTTCAAATAAAAGAATTCAGATATTTGTGAATTCTGAGGATGGAATTCCTTTTGTTAGGGGGGAAGAATGTAATACCCCTAATTCTCAAAATGATATAATTGGAATTTAAATGATATAGTTGGAATTTAAATTCATTTTTCTTTGATTATGTGCTTTGTTGCCTAGTTGTTAATTGTTTTTATTTAATTAAATTATTTGTTAATTGTTTTATTTAATTAAGTTATTTGTTTTAATTGCTTATTTTATATAATTGAGATTATTTGTTTTAATTCTTCATTTTCATTCATATTATGCTTGTATGGTAGTGTGTAAATTGTGTGCGTTATTTTTTTTATTTGTTCAAATGGAATAATAGGTTAATAATTGTTTTCAAGGTTTAAATTAAAGGTCTTTAATTTTGGTTTTTACGAATGAAGTAGCCGACTTATAGTTAGGTTAGAATTAGGGTTAGGTTTTATAGAAGCCTATATATACATAAGTTATGTGTCTGCCAAGGGTTTTAGAACCCTATTCACATACTATGAGGCAGAGAGAAACAGAAAGGGATTTGGGTGGAAAAGAGAGAGACACTTGAGAGGAAGTAGATAGGCTCAAGTAATAAAGAAAGGAAGTTGCTCGCGGGTGGAACCAAGAGGCAATAGAGGAGGAGAACAGTGAATAGAATTGGAGAACAGTCTTGGGATTTGCCGGAATTCAGAGACGGTGGTTTAAGGTTTCAAAACTCAAACCGAACGCAAGTTTTATTCTAACTCCTTCCGTTAAACCTGTATTCTGTGCATGCTATATAGTCTCCAGGAATTAATTCAGACTTTAAAACGGTTATTTAATGCATGTTATATCAGACTGTAAACTGTTTGTATATTTAATTAACTAAGATTGATTTTCTTGCATAAATTGTTTTGATTACATTTTAGATTTTTGGTCAAACAATTCGTATTGGAATCAAAGGAGTTTCAAGGATTGTTAGGACATAAATTGAACCTTAAAATCTTTAACAAAAGTGGGACAGACGACTGGAACTTTGCTGGAAGCGAAGAAGACAAACAGAGGAAGCAGATGAGGGCTCTCAAGGAGAGAGCCGGCATCTTAGATGAGAGAGCCGACTCTCCATGAGGGAGAGCCGGCTCTGAAGATGTGAGAGTCAGCTCTTTTGCTGGAACCCCCTACGGGGGGTACGCTTTTTATGCTTTCTGACTGCAGGGGCTAAAATGAAATTTTGGAATTTAATCTGGGGGATTTTAATTGATGTAAATAATCTATTAAAGACCCAGGAATATTGGTTTATGCTATGGTAAGGGACATCATGAAATATAAAAATTAATATGCATGCTGTCAAGGAAGGAGGAAAATTTAATTGCTAGTTTATTTTAACAAATTAAACGGACTGGTATGAAAGTTACTTTTAAGATTTTATATAAATGATATATATAATTTAATGAAGGCTAGGAATGTTGGTTTATGTTATGATTATAGACATCATGAACTTTAGATATTAAATTGTATGCTGTCGGGAGTTGTAGAAGTTTTAGTTGCTAGTTTTGTTTTAGCGAACTAAACGGACTAGTATGAGAATACTTTTGGAATTTCATATAATGTGCTTGGTATGTACTTTTGATTATCATTATATCATGCTATGGATGTTAATTGATGAACTGCTATAATTTCTGTTCGGTCAATTATATGGATGTAGATAGTTTAAATTGTTTATCATTACTTTAGCAATATAAAAGGAGGTTCTATGATTATAATCATATACTGGATGCATAATAGGATCTTGTCTATATCTGATTTCTATTATGTTTGTCTCTGGATGTATTTGATGTTCAAATGAGTGTGCATTATTTATGGATCATATGCATTATATGCACCAGTATGGGACGATGGCATATTAGGGATGGATTAGATCAAAACTCTAAGTCCTACCTATTCATACATACAGAATGGATTAACTAAAATAGTTAAATCCTACATGGATGAATGTCTTGTCAACTAAAACAGTTGAACGACATATCGGATGCTTGCTTTACTTTTCTGTATTATGAAGGATTTATATATATACTTATGGTACCGTGATATAAGCTTGAGTCTCAGGATCATGGTTAGGGTGCGTATATCGCTAAGGATGAGTAAGTAGATATAGTTAATGTTCCCTGGTAGGTCTAGGTGCACAAGCACACCGTAATGTGTGATTTACATGTTACTTTCTATTCAGGTTGAACTACATTATAGGCTAGTGAGCGTCCTATAGTGTGTATTCATATCTATATGGACTATTTTTAGTTATTGCCGAGCTGTCTAGGATGTATCTGTGTATCGAGTTTCTGTATAGATTGTAGTAGGATAGAACTTACATGTGGGCCTAACCCACTCTTATTTTTTCAGGTGTTCGTTAGTTCCAGGCTTAGAGCTTGATTTTGCTGAGCAGATACAATCACTCACTCCTCCGACTACGTAGGACTTTCGTTTTTATTATAGTTTTGGATTTAGGTTCTGTATTTTATTTTTGTTTCATTTGGGATTAGTAGGGGTCCACTGGATGGATTCCCGAGTTTTACGGATTGGAAAGATTAAATTATATTAATCTATTTTTTTTTGGAGGATTTTTATATTTAGAATTATTTTCAGCTTATTATTTTATTCTTATTTCATTTTGTATTCCTGCTTGTTTATATATTAATTATTTGGTATCCCTCGGATCTGTGCTTGGACTTGATCACCCATGGCTCTAGAATCGAGGGGTATCACAGACCTTCATGGAAGAAGAACCAGGGTGGTTCATCTCAGTTTCAGGGATAGCAATTTGCACGATCTTCTCCTACCACTCCTTTACCAGCTGGGTCTGATAGGAGTGGAGTCGTTTGCTTTCAGTGCCAGCAACCTGGGCATTATAAGCAACTTGGGCATTATAAGTCCAATTGTCCTATGAGATTGTCTTTAGTCTCTTCAGCTCTGAGAGCTTGTTATGGGTATGGCCAGCAGAGCGATTAGATTTGAGACTGTCCGAATCAGGGAGCAGGCACCGGTAGTGGTAGAGGGTCACGGCAGAGGCTATCGCAGTCGGCTACCGTTCAATCAAGTTTCAGACCACCGCCACCACCACAGCCTGCGATGTCTTCTCAGGGTTCATGACTAGTTAGGAGGGATACTCCTATTGTGTCAGCGCAGCAGTTTGGTGTTCAGGTTGGTAGTTCTCAGGCATAGGCATCGCAGGGACATGTCTTTACACTTGCACCGATTGATGCATCTCCTGGACCGTTAGTTCTCTGAGGTATCTTCCCATTGTTTGGTTCTTGGGCTCATGTTCTTTTTTACTCTGGTGCATCTCATTCTTTCATTGCATCATCATTTGCGCTTGCATCGGGGTTAGAGGTCAGTTTCATGAATCAGGCATTGTGTGTTGATATGCGAGTTGGAGTTTCAGTGTCTTTGAGCCGGGTTGTGAAAGATTGCTCCATTGTGATAGTCGCGCAGACTTTTGCGTTTGACCTTATCCTCTTGGAGATGACTAGTTTTGACGTCATTCTCGGGATGGACTGGTTAGCTTCGTCTCATGCTATGATCGATTGTTTCAGATGTAGAGTCACTGTTTGCACTCCCGAGGAAGATTGTTTCTTTTTCATGGGAGATCGAAATGATTTCCAACCTTCAACATTGTATGGAGTTCGTGGACAAGGTCATGGTGATTATTTCTTGGCTAGTCTTCAAGTCGAAGAAGATGATGTTGTGGAAGCAGTTTATCCAGTAATTGTTTGTGAATTCTTGGATATTTTTCCAGAGGATTTGACAGAATTGCCTCCACACCGAGAAGTAGAGTTCACTATTGATTTGATGCCAGGTACCGCGTCGATTTCTATGGCACCATATCATATGGCACCAGTGGAGATGGAAGAATTGGAGAAACAACTTGATGATTTGAGGATGAAAGGTTTCATCCGACTAAGTGTGTCACCGTAGGGCGCACCGGTCTTGTTTGCTAAGAAGAAAGATGGTTCTTTGAGGTTGTGTATTGATTACCGGAAGTTGAATCATGCCACCATCAAGAACAAGTATCCTTTGCCAAGGATAGATGATTTATTCGATCAGTTGATAGGAACTAGTTGTTTCTCGAAGATTGACTTGAGATCTGGCTATTATTAGTTACGGGTTAGGGATGAGGATATCTCGAAGACAACGTTCCGTACACGATATGGACACTATGAGTTCCTTGTTATGCCTTTTGGCTTTGACTAATGCGCCAGCGGCATTCATCGACTTAATGAACTGCATTTTTCACGATTACTTGGACCAGTTTGTGGTAGTTTTCGTGGATGACATTCTTGTGTACTTACGGACTCGAAAGGAACACAAGATCCATTTGATTATTGCATTACAGATTTTGTGGGAGCACCGATTGTACGCCAAATATGAGAAGTGTGAGTTTTGGCTGCAAGAGGTGAAGTTTTTGGGGCAAGTTGTTTCGGAAGGTGGAGTGTCAATTGATCCATTAAAGATTGAAGTAGTTTTGACTTGGGAGTAACCCAAGAATGTTTTTGAGATCTGCAGTTTTCTTGGTTTAGCGAGTTACTATCGGAGATTTGTGAAAGATTTCTCCTGATTGGCAGCTCCTATGACCCGTTTGACCCGGAAAGGAATCAAGTTTGTGTGGAATAAAGCCTGTGAGTCATCCTTTCAGGAGTTGAAGATAAGGTTGACTACGGCTCCAGTGTTGGTGATACCTGAGCATGGCTTGGGTTATGTGATCTATTGTGATGTTTCACATGATGGTTTGGGATATGTGCTGATGCAGGATGGTAGAGTAGTGGCTTATGGATCTCGACAGTTGAAGACTCATGAGTTCAACTACCCTACTCATGATTTAAAATTAACAGCAGTTGTGTTTGCCTTGAAGTGTTGGAGACACTACTTGTATGGAGAGATATTTGAAGTGTTCTTAGATCACAAGAGCCTCAAGTTCCTTTTCTCCCTAAAGGACTTGAACAACAGACAGAGGCGATGGGTTGAGTTCTTGGAAGATTACAAATTTTGATTTGCAGTATCATCCGGGCAAGGCAAATGTGGTAGTAGATGCCTTAAGCCAGAAATCTCGTGGAACTTTGGCTAGTTTAGCCATTCTAAAATGGAAGATGCTTGAAGATCTGGCAGAGAAGGGATTGCAGTGTTTTGATGATGACGTTTGCAGTGAGTCGGCATTCCTATTCAGTCTTGTGGCTCAACCTACTCTTGTTGGACGAGTGATTGAGTCACAGAGACAGGATCCGGATTTGGATGCCATTCAGACTTTAATCTTCAGGGGTGAGACAGTGAAGGATTGGACCTTGCATGCAGATGGAGGTCTACGATTCAGAGATTTGTTAGTTATTCCCACAGTCTATCGTGAGGACGTTCTACGGGAGTTTCACATTTCCTGCTTTGCAGTTCATCCAGGTGGTACTAAAATGTATCACAATTTGAGACATCAGTATTGGTGGAGCGGAATGAAGAAAGATGTGACATAGTTTGTGGTTAAGTGCCTTACCTGTCAGCAAGTGAAGGCCGAGCATCAGAGACCAGCAGGTTTGTTGCAACCATTGCCTATAGCGCAGTGGAAATGGGTGCAGATTGCTATGCATTTTGTGACAAGTTTTCCTAAGTCACGGAGAAGCAATGAAGCCATATGGGTCATTATTAATAGATTGACCAAGACGGCTCACTTTTTGCCTATTAAGGCAACAGATGATGCAGAGGCACTTGGTGCACTTTATGTGGAAGAGATTGTGAGGTTACATGGAGTTCCAATAACCATTGTCTCGGATAGGGATGCCAAGTTCACTTCGAAGTTCTGGGAAGGACTTCAAGCAGTGTTTGGTTCAGCGTTGCCCCTGAGTATGGCATTCCATCCATAGACGGACGGCCATTCAGAGTGTACTATCCAGATCTTGGAGGATATGCTTTGGGCATATGTGCTTGACTTAGGTGGTAGTTGGGAAGATCATCTACCGCTTATTGAATTTTCCTACAACAATAGTTATCATGTGAGCATTGAGATGGCTCCATTTGAGGCATTGTATGGAAGACCTTGTAGGTCTCCTGTTTGTTGGACTGCGGTAGGCGAAACAGCCGCCTTAGGACCCGACATAGTACTCAAGACTACCGAGAAGATTAAGTTGATCAGACAAAGACAGCTCTCAGCTCAGAGTCAACAAAAGAGCTATGCGGATAAGCAGAGACGACCGCTAACTTTTGAGGTGGGAGACCACGAGTTTCTACGGGTTTTTCCACAGAAGGGATTGATGAGATTCGGAAAAAGTGGCAAGTTGTCGCCACGATTCATTGGGCCGTTTGAGATCTTGGACCGTGTAGGAGAAGTTGCCTACAGACTTGCCTTGCCACCGCAGATGGACAGAGTTCATAATGTGTTTCATGTATCGATGTTACGGAAGTATGAAATGGATCTAACTCAAGTTTTGGAATGGGTTGATATGGATATTAATGAAGATGTCTCCTATGAAGAAGGACCAGTTCAGATCCTTGACACACGATAGAAGGTGCTAAGGGACAAGATGATACCATTAGTGAAGGTTCTTCGGAGACACCACGGAGTCGAGGAGACTACTTAGGAGCTTGAGCAGGAGGTTCGCTCCAAGTATCCAGAGTTGTTTTCTTCCCTCTGTATGGCTTGATTTCGGGGATGAAATACTTTATAAGTTGGGGAGATTGTGATGTTTCTAATTTTTGTCATTTTCCATTTTCTAAATTTTTTGTCATTGCAAGGGTATTTTCGTCTTTTGCTGTTTTGCGCATCGGCCACTGTGGAGTGTGCCGATTGTGTCTGAGAGTTGTTTGGGCGTTTCATTGAGTTCAGTATTCTTTGAAATGCAAGGGTGGTCTTTTACCCATTTTTTTGTTTTTCGGGACGAACGGTTCCGTGTGGGACCCGCTACTGGAATTGTCGCATATGGGTATTGTGATTGGGTCCATTTGCATCATATTTATTTTTTTTATTTTTTGTGTTTTTAGTGATTGTAAATTAAATGTATATTTATATGTGTATGTGGTGAGAATTAAAGACAAAAAGAAAAAGGGAAAATAAAAGAAAAATAGGTGGGACCACCCATTAACACACAAAAGGGCCAAAGAGACGACGTATGGTCTCATTTCTCTTTTCACTCCAGTAGGTTTCTCTTTTCTCCTCTCAAAATCTCTTTTTTCTTTTTTTTTTTACATCATGACTTTGAATCTAGATCTCTTTTACAATACTTAGTAATTTTAAGTGCCATTTGCGGCAAATTGAAGCCCACGATGAGATCTACGAATCCATCAGAGCAATTTCGCGTTTGGTGCACTCTAGGAGATTTGGGATCTAGGGCACAAATTGGGGATTTTGGCTTAGATTGAGGTAGGGGTCTCTAATACTCAAAATTCCTGTTCCTTTGTGAGTTTTTCTACTTTAATTGTTGCCAAGCATGATTAATTTGAATTGATTGTTTCTTACATGATTTAATCGTGTTTATGAAGCATGCAATTATGTGTATTTGTTGATTTACATGGAAAGCATGCCTAATTGTTGATTTTCTATGTCGATTGTATTTGGTAAATTGTTAGAAATTGCTATGAGAAAGTATGTGAGTTATGTAGTATTAATTTCCCCAAATTCATATTATTAAAAAGGGTATGTGATATGCATTCATAACATGGGCATGAAAAAGGGATGCAACGATTTGATAAGAATGAAAAAGGGGATTTTGCGGAGAATTTTATGAAACGATTTTGAGAAAACCCAATCGCCGCGGAGTCACCAAAGGGCCGGTGTATTAATGTAACCTACAGGGAACTAGGGAGATTGTCGTAGCCTGGTTGAGCTATCTGGGCCCCAAATGACGATGCGAAGGTACCAAAGGTCAGGGACAGTGGCCAATCCTTCTCTTGTGTCGCTGCAGAGTGACCAAAGGGCGGGTTTTATTAACAGTTTGTGAAGTGATGGATGTTTTCTGAAAATGGGGAGTGACATGCATAGCATTGCATTCATGGCACGACATTTACTTGTTTTAAACTTGGAATTGATATTGTATTTTTTCTCGACTTTGTATGACCCCAATTCTCATTGTCCTATTCATTGTTTGGATTCACGGGTCCACAAGAGGTGCGTCTTAGGTATCACCTACTGAGCTTTATGCTCACCCTATTATTTAACATTTTTCAGGAACCGGGAACGAAATAGTTGATACTGATCCATCTTAAGTATGAGGAAGACTTGGAGTTTATTTTGTACCTTTTATATATTTGCTATACTTTTGTAAAGTTACAAATCTTGTAAAGTGCATTGTTTTGCTAAACATGGTTATGTATTGTAATTTCAACCTTAACGGTATTTTGAAGACAATTTGAGACTATGTAATTATCTCGTGAAGAATGTTAAATGAAGTGCACTCAACCCATTTTATGGTTGCTATTTAATTGTATTATAACCCATCCTGTTGCCGTAAATTCAAAAATTGGTTGCAAGATAGGTCCCGTGTGAGTTGAAGGGGTAGCAAACACAAACAATGGCCATTTTAGTGAGTTTTAGGGTTTAGGGCCTTATTTCAGCCGGCTGACCCTTTCCATCAGCCGACCGAAACCCTAGGTTCAGCCGAACGAACCCCTATCATCAGTCAACCGACTGTTGAAATAGTGAAAGTCCCGAGAGCATTTTTTTTGCCCCATCATTTCAGCCAACCAACCCTGTTGATCAGCCGGCTGATCCTGCTTTGTCAGCCAGCCGATGAAGGTCCTTCAGCTGGCTGGTCATCCCCTTTGACTTGAATTGTTTGACCAGTGTGGTGATGTTGTGTTCCAAGGTATTTTGAAACCCCAGGTTAATCCTTATGACGATTTATGGATATAGGAAGTGGAGGGTTTGACCTAGTTGACCTCGGGTCAGGGCAAGGACCAGGGTAACAGTCTGGACCCACAGGTTCGGGTCGTTACAACTTGGT